TGCAACAACAGCAAGCCGCTCCCGAGACCTGCACAACCTTCAGAGCCAATTTTCTCTCACAGCCGAGACGGACATCTACGGCCTTTTCCCCTGTCCACGGATCCAGCTGTGGCCCGGACCATCAGAACAGCATTTCTCATGCTTCGGTGTCGATAAAATCGCCCTCATCCCGCCCCATCTCCTGCCTTGGTCGGCACCTCTCATCCACCCACAACAAACTTACTGGTGACGCCTTCCTCGGCACAGCCCGACTCGCACACCTCACTCCGCTCCCTACCGTCGCCGCCGCCAATCCAGGTCGCATCCCACGCCACGTCCTCTCCCAATAAGACTTGCCAGTACATCCCTCCGTCTACGCCTTGAAATTTGTGAGTCACGTCTTCATCACGCGCAACCTTTCTACTATGCAGAACCTAGGTGTTTGCCAAAACCCCGATGATCTTTGTCTCCCCCCTCTCTCGCCCTCCTGGCAGCCACCTCCCTCTTTACCTATTGACCCACCTCGAAGCAGGCCTGGCTAACCTGCGACAAGCTTAGACACAACCACCATCATCACCAAAAAATTACCACCAACATGATTGTCAGGATCACCAGCTTTGCCAACATGGGCCGTGGAGCCTACGACACGACTGGTTGCCCCAAGCCTCCTCCTCGCCCCAAGCCATCATAAGATTGTTTTCCACACCGGCCAGAGCTGCGCCGTGAAGGCACGCTTGTACTTCAATCACCATCTGCTGCGCGCCTTACACCATACGACCTTTTACCTAATTATCTGGCAACGCGTCCAGTGCTGTACCACACCCTTGACGATGTTCTTGATCGAATCTTGACCACCAACACTCCAACCTACGATATTTAATACGCTTTCCTGTCAAAGACTACAACGACCGGCTCAGAGCCACCGAACTTGCTTCCCAGCAGCAATCTGAACTGGAAAGCTTGATACACGGATATTCACGATGTTCCATTCTCTCTCTTTCTCTTTTTGAGGACATTCTAGTGCTCCTCCGGACTCGACGGCACGGCGTTCAATCATAGACGAATGGGATTTCTTTTTGGCCAACGAACAAAACACATCGATTATTGGCCCTTGTCAGACACCATGGCCTCACGGCCCCCAACCCCACCCTCTGGACTGGAATCTACATGTCCCGGGCGCTGCGTGCCAGACATGTTCCTGCGCATTGGGGTCCTCGCAATTGACGAAACGATGTGTACGGCATCGCGCCAAGATACCCTGCTCCCCAGATGGAGCTTTCAGGGTTACAAGACGCCACCGCACTTCCCACGAAGCCAGGCATTTCCATCACTTGTTTTTCTTTTTCTTTCAATCGGGCAGTTGGAACGGGCTACACAAAACAGGGATTGCTACGGGGTATTGTTTTTCTTGGGTTTGGGAAAAAAGAACTACTGCTTTTGGGATTGCATATAGACTTGTCTCGTGTTTTTTTCTTTCCTTTTCCTCTCTCCCCCCTCTTTCTCCTTCCCGCGCCCTTGCGCGCACGCCCCATTGTTTCATTCCTGTTCCTCTCCCTTGCATCGCGTGCCCTCACGAGCACTGCAGTCGAGGCCATCAGGCCTGAACAGGGTTGGCGGCGGAGGAGGTGAGAGGGTGGGCGAGCCTCTCCATTTTCTTCACAGCGGT